CCCCAACTTCAGATGCTCAGCCTCAAATCAACAGAGGGATCGAAATCACTCAGCTGCCATCCAGGGAGGAAATGCCCCTTTTTGCAATGCAAGTCTAACTACAGAAGAGTGAGTATGCCTGTGTAATAAAGACGGTATAGAAACACATATCTAATTGCATTTTCATTATATACATAAAATTAGACTTTCATTAAATGGATGGTACTTTGAAAATATAGGAAATGTTTGATATTTGAAGTTTGGTATTTCAAACCTACTTTTTAAACAGAGAACAAAACATTTTTAAATCTTGTCCCTGGTTCTTTTTAACTTGCATTCTTGTAAAGTGGACAAAGATTGGATTAGTCTAATTACAGGATGGTTCTTTTAACAAGAAATCTGCTACAGAGAGGTCTAAAATGGCCTAAATAATTAAAGTTCTCTTTCTTACCCTCTTCATCTTAAGCAATGAGTAATGTTTGAAGTCCAGACTAAGCCACCTGACTAGAGCCTTTCATTTTTAATTGGTTGACCTTAAGTCCACCAGCTGTCTTTGCTAGGAGCTTTTTTTTTTTCTGAAGCCACTCTACAAAGACTTAGAACAAATTAGGAAGACTAAATTACTGTGGACTAACACTTTGTGACCTTTTGACACACCAAGTATACATTGCCTCAGAAGTAGTTCTAGATTTAGTTAGGTGGTATTCACTACACTGTTGCCATTTTGTTACATAGTATTTTTGTAATTATTATTATTCTCTAAAAAGCATCACTTGAAATAAGGAACAAGTTTGAGTCTATTTTTGCCCAGTCATTAAGGGGTTACCTGTGCACCTGGGGGCAAATCATCCTGTTGCAGTGTTTGCAAACAAGCAAGCTTTAAAATGCCAGTAACAACTATTAATATCTGCCAAAGAGCTAAATTCCTTGCCCCGCAGTTTGCATTAGGGCACATAATGCAAGTTGTCCCTGACCTTCCAGAAGCCGACTAACAATAGATAGTGTGGTTCAAGGCTTAGGCCTCTACCATAATGGTTGGAGCACCATATACTGAGGTTTTGAATCCCAGCTTTACCACTGACTTCAACCTTAGATATCCTGTTGAGACACAAACTTCTGTCCCTCAGTTTCCCTAGCCACAAAATGGGAATAATTCCTAAGGCTCAGTTCACTCACTTTTCTCAGATGTTTTGCAATGGTGTACCTAAGGACTCGAGTGGTGCACCGGGACCCCACTGTGTTTGGAGGCTTGTACAGCACCAAGCAAAGTGCAAAGTATTTTTCAAGCCCAGTCTCTGGCTGGGATGATGTAGCTGGGGCTGGTCCTGCTTTGAGCAGGGGGTTGGACTAGATGTGACCCCCGAGGTCCCTTCAGCCCTCATTTTCTATGATTCTCTGACCTTTTTGTTGCGCCCAGTACAGCTGACTGACGCTGTATGTTGTTGAACATATGTGGTTGGATTGCAACAAACTCTGTTTCTAAATGAGAACCATGCTCTATATTTTTGTTTCATTTCAGTCACAAAGAGCCAAAGAAACTCCCAGTCGCTCACACCTCCCAGTCTAGCGAGTTGGTTGTCACATATTTTTTCTGTGGAGAAGAAATTCCCTACAGGAGGATGTTAAAGGCCCAGAGCCTGACACTTGGGCACTTTAAAGAGCAGCTGAGCAAAAAGGGAAATTATAGGTAAGAATCGTGTGGTTTGTTCCTCCTCCTCCTCCTTTGGTCTGCTGGGACCATGAGCCAAAATAATCAACAAATATATTTCTGCAAACCCGCCCACAAGGAAAAACTTACGGCACCTTTTGGAGGTTGGCTGTGCTGTCTTGCTGAGCAATGTGGGTCTCGCCACTGCCAAACCACGGGGGGCTTAGTGAGGCTCCTGCATGGCTCAGGTATGATGGCCATCAGACCAGGGGGTGGCTTTGTCTTGCGAGTATAGTCAACTTGGCGCATGTCCTATAGCCAAAAATAATGGCTGACAGGCTGCCCGTGGACAGCTTTTGCCAGAATAGCAGAGTATCGGGAAGAAGAGGACTGTCCTTATGGGGCAGGTGCTAAAAGGGGAACTTGGAGGTGAGTTCAGTTCCCAGCTCTGTCACCGAGTCCCTTCTGGATCTTAACTGGGTCACTTAATTTCTCTGAGCCTCAGCTCCCCCACCTGTAAAGTGGGAGTAATGATGCTTTTTGGCCTAACGGGGGCATTAATCTGTGAAGCGTTTGAATGCAGCACTAATGGAGGCCATAAGTGATCAAGGTAGGTGCAGTGTCAGGTGGGCACAGACGGAGATGACGCTTGCAGGACTCTTTTTGGTGTGGTTGATTTGCTGCAGATACCCGTGGGCCCTTTAAACACGTGCGTGTTCTCACGAACACCCCAGTCTGCAGGGCCAATTCCACGGAGTTGCGCTGAGATCCCTTTTAGAAACAACAACAAAAACCTGGCAGCTTCCCATCTGGGTAGAAGGAGTTTGCAAAGGCCAAGTCTGTGTGTCTGGTTTCTGTGGGTTATGTCATTTCTATAGTTTGCCACCACCTCGTCACAACTCCGATGGCAGAGGCTTTTTTTCCCTCGGTTATTTTTACAGTACTGGCTAAATGGCTCTGATCAGTAATGAAATGTTCAGGTCATAAAGGTTGTCTAGGCTGTTTCCTTTCTTCAGCACTAAGTGTTAAAGAGCCAGGTGTAAATATTTTACATTCATGCTGAATTCACCGGTCCACCGAAGTGCCAGAGGACGTGCCGCAGTATCGGGAGTCCCCGGGTGAGAGCCAGAACGGGCACTGCACTGGCAGTAGCACAACCCTCCCAGGTTGCCCTACCAGGGAACCTGCACTAGTTTTGAAGGACCCACCTGCACAGGTGAGACTCTAGGCCCCTTGTGAGCTTTTGGGACCTGGCTGCCGTTGTCTTTGGCAATCCCTCCCGGTTGAGGACGATCACCCCTGTGAGGCTGCGCTGAGCTGTTGGCCTTCTCATAGCCTGAGATGCACTGTGTCCCTCCTAAATTCTCTCTCGCAGGCCGCTCGGCTGTCATCAGATGGCAACAGTTTCCAGTGGTAACCAACTTGGGCTGGATGTGAACCAGTGGCTGGGAGGTGAAAAGGGTGGCCTCATTCAGCCTCTAGAACAGCCTGTTTTTTGTTTCCTACCAATTCTGTCTTGTGATGCTCGGGTGCTTGAATATGATATTAAAACCTCTGTGGCCTTTAAGCCCCTCCAGGTGCAATTATTTGTGCCTTGTCAGACTGTAATTACTTTAGAAAATGTTTTAAAGTGACTGACAAGGATGAAACAATGTTTTGCTTAGATCTCTCCCCTTTACACCTGGGTAAAGACAATGCAGAAATTTATAAAAGGAACTTGGGTACGTGCCCAGTATTTTATCTTGCACAGACACAAGGTGAAACTAATTACACAAATGTGTGTACCTCCAGGGAATCATTTTGATCTAAGCTTTGACTTTTGGCTGGACTTTGAGTGAAACGGCGGGTGACCTTCAGGGAAGAGGGCCGTACTGCCCAGAGTAGCGTGTGTATGAGAGGGAGCACTAACTAGCTTCCTTGGTCACATCTGGCATTGATTTCTTTTTAAGGCACACTTAATAAGCATGTCTTTGAAGCCTTTGCCTTTCATTTAATGCACAAAGACATGCATAAATGGTCGACTCTCAAAATTCTTTATTGATTGAATCAGTTTGCAACATGGGTACCTAAGGCTCTGTTCCTGCTCCTTTTCAGTGCCAAAGTCATGTGTCCAGCAGGGTATGTGCTGAGTGTGTGGTGTTTCTTTCTTTATAAAAAAGGTGTGTGTGTGGGGGGGTATTAAGCAGTGATTTTTAATACCAGTAGTGGGGGGGGGGGGGGGTCCACACACACACACACGGGTGGTGTCAAGTACTCTTAACATGGCAGGAGTTCAAAACAGAGCCGTAGCACCAGGCCTGCTAGACTCTATTGGTGCCAGATGTCAAAAAAAAAAAAGAGGCAAAAAAAAAGAAAGCAAAGCTTGCCACATAAAACATGTTTCAATGGAAAACCCATTTCTGTGAGCAAGTAAATGCGGAGCAACTTGTTTGAAGATGATGTGGGGGAGGATATTGCTTTGCTTTTCTTTTTCTTACTTTTTTTTTTCCCCTTTCCTTTCTCTGTGAAATAAGGTTGTAATTATGTAAAAGGTCATAGCGTGTTTTCTCAAATAAAAATTTTGTAAACACCACCAGAGTTTCGGCTTGTGGAGGAAGTTCTTGGGAAGGCTGGCTGTTATCTGCAGGAGGGGCAGGCAAGGGGAAAGTCTTTGTAACTCATTCAAGCTTTTTAGCATTTTGGTTTTGTTTTGAGCCTACTGGCTTGGGGAATTATAGTCCTGACCTGCGCCATTAAAGTCAGTGGGAACTTTGCCACCAACTTCAATAAGCATAGGCTCAAGGTCTATATGAAGAACTTAAATAAGCTGTTTCATTGCTGAACCACTAAAGAGACAATTTTGTCCATCAATTCAACTGGGAATGGCTTAAAAAAAAGTAATGTGTTAAACGTATCTTGACTAAATATAGCTTTTTTGACTCTCCCTTTGTAGCTAAAGGACCTGCTCCCCCTACCTGCCAAAGACATTTGCTTTCCCTTTAAAAAAATTATATCCTATTATTACTGGTTATTTCATTTTGAAGTATTTTATAGCAAAATTGTTCCTCTTAGGGGACTTTCAAAAACCACTACAGGCCAAAGACCGTTAATTATTATAAGTGAAAAACTCTTAAGCTGAGGGTTTTGTCCTCCCCTCCTGCAAAAGTTGTGTGACCTTTTCTTGCTCCTAGCAAACACCTCTCCATCTTCTGCTGTCTGAAAGTGACAGTGCAGAGGTGAAGTTTCTGATCTCTCTGATGAAGATTTTCTCTTGCTGGTGATCAGATGGGAAAGTGCTTTTCAAAGCAGGCGAGAGCAGGGCAGATCGAAGGTGTGTGGCAGCAGACGGGTAGGCTCCTTAAATGCTAACCTTCTGAATGGAAGCCCTTCATTTGTGCATATGCAATTAAGCAGCCTTAGAAGGAAGAATGCTAGAAAAGGGATAAAAGGAACCTTTAATCAAGAAGCTGAACGGTCTAATTCAGGATAATAGAGGGGTCCTTACTGTTTGACACAGGAGGGGTGGGGGCACTTTTTGTCTGTGTGAGCACTGGCTTCATGATCTAACGACCCAGAGCAAAAGAGAAGGAATGCAGGACACTACTACTTGACCTTCCAGTGTCAAATATTGCAATCCAGACCAAGATTGCTCTTTGCATGTGACCATTAGGAAGCAGCTGAGAACAAACACAGCAGCTTCTCTAACGTAAGAGCGGAGGCTCAATATGCGTGCCTGTGTATAAATGCAAGGCCCTGAGCTTTATCATGGGGCCAATGCCACACAGTTAGTCTTTCCTTTGCAGAAAGCACGTTGCAGATTTTGAGCTGAGGCTAACTTCTATTTCTAAAAAGGTCCTTTAATAAAATTTTATAATTGCAGTGTTGTGCTCCAGAATTTGAAGGAAGAAACGCATGAAAGCAACAAGGAAAAAACTCAAAGAATGTTTTTGTTTGAATTTTATTTCTTTAAATAAAATGCTTGGCCAGGAATTGCTACACTCTTTAATTTTCCTTCTTGCTGAAAATATCTGCTGCCAACATATATAAGGCACCATCCTGGAGGTGTCTTTTATTTATTAAGTAGTGTATTCCTTTCCTTTGCCCTTGTTCCTCAAACACTTATGTTTTAGCTCTGTTTGGCTGACTGCAATTGCACCTATCTTGAATCAAGTAGACTTGGCATATAATCCAAACTCATCATTACTGACTGATGGAGGCTTTCCATATTATAGGATCTGTCTTGCCTCTGTAATCCTAGTAACCCCATTAAAGCCAGTGGAGAGTCTCATTTGAGAGGAGAAATTGGGCTCTTTGCAGGAAAATAATGCATGTGATCTTAAATAATTGCAGCGTATCCTTTGTCTTCATTTTGTTTAACCCTACTGTATTTTTCCCACACCAGGTATTACTTTAAAAAAGCAAGTGATGAATTTGACTGTGGTGCGGTTTTTGAAGAAATTTGGGAAGATGACACAGTTCTGCCCATGTACGAAGGAAGGATTCTTGGAAAAGTAGAGAGGATTGATTGATGGCATTGGTGTTCTTTTTAGAAATCCTAAGCTAGAGATGTCTCTGGACACACAGTAGTGACAAGGGGGAAAAACAACTCTGAAGGAAAGTTTTGAACCAATGAAGAAAAAAAAAGGCAAGGTCTATGAAGACTTTGCTGAATTAGCCTTAGAGGAAAAAATGGCATTTATTATTCATGAGTTGGGTACCGAGATGATAAAAACCCTGAACTATTTATTAAAAACATGACCACTGTTGGCTATTGGAGATGCAGACCATGTTTGAGAGACTTCCATACATAATATATGACTTCCTGGGGATCTGAAATCTATGGACTAAGAGAAACTGTGTATAGCTTACCTTAACAGTAATCCTTATTGATATTTATTGAACAGTCTGATTTTTCCCTTAAGTCCAGTTTATGGATATGCTGCTTTAACAATGGAGAAGAGAGGGGATATGGGAGGAGGGTATATATTTTTTGTGTGTTGTTCCCACTATCTAAAAGTTCAGCTCCAAGTTCATTAATAATTTCTTTCCTTTTACAAAGAAAGGAAACATGTTGTGCCCAGCACTTCTCCAAGTGAAGATAAAAGCTCTAAAGAAAAGTTGGTGTGGGGGGAAACCTTGACTGAAAAAAGAAAAGCAAAGAAAACAACCCTACCATTCACTTGTCTAGAGATGGGTGCATTTTAATCTATGCTGCTCTGATCCAAAATAAAGGTCTTAAGCATTCTACATGTTTGATGCAACACAGCAACGGTGATTGGTTTTTGTCCAGGGGTTTCTGTGGCGTGAGGCTTTCTATTGTTGCTTTCATTGTGTGGGACTCCAAGTTGTGTCCGGGGCCTGTCTATGCCAAGGCAGCCTATAGCAAATGCAGACCTAGGAAGAGAGCTGAACAAGCAGCCAGCCAGTTCTCATTTCCACGTTAACACGCCAAAAGGATGCATTGCAAAACCAGATTATAATCCAGATGTGTATTCTACATTGGCTAGGAAAAATAGCTATCTTTCTACTTCAGCGTTAGCACATCTTGTATTTAAGACCACATGCAAATGCAGTGGGGTGGGTTTTCAGACATGTTTTATCTTCTCTACATAGCACCCATTTGAGCCAATGGGAGTTGTGCTAAGGCTCTATGCTACACTTTGAATAGCTTCCTCTTCCTCTGTGCGTGAGTGTGTGCGCGTGTGTACATTGTTGGGACAAAGCAACCCTTTTCCAAGAAAGACCTTCCATTTCTACATTTGGGTTTTATGTTGATTAAGTTAATCTGTGCATTGTTTGCCATTGCTACTTTGTGTAAGTCTGTATATATTGTAGAAAGTGTATGGTGAAAATATTAATACACTATCTCTAGTGTTTTTAAAATTTAATCAGTACAGTACCTGTGCCTGCATGGTTTTACTATGCCATGTTTTGCCCTATATTCAGGGTTCAAGCTTTCCCTTGTTTGTTTAAGGGGTTTATGTATAAATATATTTTATGCCTTTTATTACAAGTCCTGTACTCATGACTTTTGCCATGGCATTTTGTTCTACTTATACTGTAAATTATGCATTATAAAGAGTTTCATTTAAAGAAAATTACTTGGTACAATAATTATTGTAATTAAGAGATGTAGCCTTTATTAAAATTTTATATTTTTCAAATTAATATTGTCTGAGTTTTGGTATGTAGAGGTGGGTATTTTTTTCTATTGCACTCCTTCACAGAACAACAATCAAGATCTGATCCCCGTGGTATCCCAACCAAGAAGGTCTTGCCACCAGCAGACAAGACCAAGGATAGAGCTGCAGTGCAAGGTAGTGCACAGATAGCCAGGCAGGTGGTGAACAAGCCAGCCCAGGTACCCGAAGCCTTCAGATCTACCCTAGGTGTATCTCTGTGCTGCACTGCAGTGTGTGCACCTGCGGCATAGGGGGGCGGTGGCTTTGAAAATTTCAGTCCTGCGTTACATTTGCTGTGCCTCGTCTCTAAAACACGGGTCATAAATAGAGGCCCTACGTTCAGAAGAGCGCAGTCGTTTAGGCTGATAAGTCATGGAAAGTTGATGAAACTGAAATGCCTGAGTCACTTCTTCAAAAGCACCTCGATGGCTTCCCTTGGTGACGCAGGAAGTTTGACAGAGCAAAGACTTCAACCCTGGTCTCTTAAATGCCTTAAGCATACGTTCATCCTCCTTCCAGTGTGCATGATGCAGAAACTTCCTTCCTTGATGTCTGAGCAAGACCCACGTCCATGCCTGGTCGAGATTACTGGCTTCTGTGAAGTTACAGTAAGGATGACTGCATCACCCATGCGCCTCCATCCCTCGCCCAAGGAGCCCAGGAACAAACTCATGGAAATGTTCGTAGTCTGTTGTTAGTAACTGAAGCTAACCCTTTCTTTTTGTTATACCAATGGCACCTATTGCTTTTTTCCCCACCCTCTTTTCCATGTAGTTGAAAGGATCTGGGTTATTTTGTGTGTATGAGAAGACTTCATTTAAAACATCAGTAAAACTTGTATCAAAGGGCTCAACTTCATACCGAGTACACAGGGCTCAGAACTGAATCCTTCAGTTAAAAAAAAGCTGCAGGCGGTTTTACACATTTAAATGGATGGTGTCTTGTTTTAAACACCTTCTGAAGTTCATGGGGTTCATCTTAATTGATAAGCTGGACATAACGGATGGGTGTAGGGAGACTTCAACAACATGGGGGAAGAAAGATTTTTTTTTATTCTACCATCAAAGGTTAGGAACTTAGCACTACACAGTAGTATTATTTTTCTTCTGCTATTAAAATGAATCATACTGTGCCTAATTCTTCTTGGGAAGATAAATGTGTTTGAGGCTGCTTGAAGTCATTCACTGCCACACAAGCCTTTGCATCTTTATATCAATGTTCCAAAATACTCACCTCTGTTTTTTGGATGTCTGTAGAAACAAAAAATAAAATGGCTTCAAATACATGGCAGGCTGTTTAGCAGAGATGAAAGGGTATTTGAATAGTCTTTTAAAAATGAATGAAAAGTGAATACTCTCTTCTGTTTCAATTATAAGTAGGACATGGAGATCATTAGACACCACCTTAATGTGACACTTTGAAAGTGTTCAGCTACCTTGACTATATCAGAAACATTGTTTTAGCCTGTCTCAGGGTAAAGCTCTTGGATAACTTCGCCAGAATTGTAACCGTGAAACAAGAAACCAGCATGAGAAAGTTGCACTATTATAATTGAAGGTATGAATATAAACCGATCTTTTTAAACTGTAACACCCCTGATGCAGGTTGGAGAAATGGATGTTGGTGCAGACACCTTACGTTGCCAGGTGGCAGTGAAGAGCGAGAGGCACTTTTTGGAGAACAACCCCCACACAGCAGTACATGTGTGATCTAGATATAGCCACTCTGTGCACTTAAATCATACTCGCACTTAGAACTTAGAGCATTTTTCACCTTCAAAGCATGCTAGAGACATTTGCTAAGCCTCACAACCCCCCAGTGAGGTAGGCAAAAATGCATGTGGTAAGCTACAGCCTGGTTTATAATTGGCTGTGTGGACAGAGCTCACAACAGTCTCCCGGTCAACAGCACTTCAAAAGGGAGGTGTTTGTGTTACGGCTGCAAGGGCTGGATCACGATCCAAGAGAAATAAAGGACCTGGTTGCAACACAATGAAAACGTGTAGACAGACCCTTAACTTAATCTCCCTGACTTGAGCTAAAGCCTTGGTCATAGCTTTGACTTTCGTCTGGAAATGCAATGCATCTAAATCTTGTCTATGTGACACATTTTAATCATGCTGTTGCCTTGCCCTTTGGCTTGGTTGAAGTCCTAGTGAGGAGATGCCATCTGATGGTGGTGTCATGTCCACCCTAATGGCACGATGCCACCCAGAGCTCGCTGCTTCAGGTGCATGCCAGTGCTATCTGCAGCAGTAACCAATTGGTTAACTAGAAATAGGAAGAGTATCCCAGCAGCTTTGACGTGCCCCTTGCACCAGGCAACAACCGATTATCTTGTGGCTCCAGAGAATAAATAGGGCAAGTGTCATACTTTTGCGAGGTACCCTTACACCAGATAGGGCAGGAAACAGAAAATGTAGCAGCAATGCCATCATCTCCTCCTCTTACAAGTAAGCAGGAAGTGGAGAAGAGAAGAAAAACTTTTCCTGGCAGGGCAGAACGGAGAGCCACAAAATAGTCATTGTGTGAGGCACAGAGGTTTCTTTGAAGTAGAAATGCATCAGCAGATGATACTGAGCAATAACGTTACACGATTGCTGCAAACATAGCAACCCCAGACAGGGGCCTGAGTCTGGTTTGAAAATGTGAAGTTCAGACATTAGATTGGGAGGGACAGTTTTTTGGACGCTACCCTTCCTTTCCTTTGAGCTCGAAGAGGTGTTGAGCAGATGAACTGGGTGTGCATTTGTTCAAACAGCATGCAAACAGCATGCACTTTTAAGCAGAAGTTGTTAAGGAGTCTGGGCAGTGCACTCACCATCATTCCTGCTGCAGGGAAGCAAAGTCTGATCTCTTGCCTTCACATAAGTGGTCTCTGAAGCGCTGTCCTGCTCATCCACGGTTTAGGTCCGCCTTTGGGAGAGGAGGAACACGAATCAGCCACCTCCTTGATTGGCCTGTCAAACCGATAAGGCTAAAAGGAAGCCAGTGCTCTTATTGACACACATACTTTGGGTTGACCTGGGTGCTTTTGAAACATGCTTTCCTTGCTTGTGAGGGATTAAATATTTAGCACTGCCAAGCTCAACAGTTCAAAA